CCACGCCAAGGTTGTTCTCTCCTTCGGCGTAGCCTTGATCCGCCGCGAGCGCGAAGAACCGGAACGCTTCTTCAGGTTTCCCCTCAAAATGAAGGAGACCCCCTAAGTTGGTTTGCGCGACCGCGTCGCCCCGATCTGCGGCCGCGCGATACAGCCGCTCAGCCTTCTTCTTGTCATGATTGACGCCACTTCCACCACGATCGTGCAATATCGCAAGGTTTGTCATCGCTTCCACGTCACCGAGCTCCACGGCGCGCCGGTAAATCTTCGCGGCTTTCTTACCGGATTTCACGAGACCGTACCAACCTTCGTCGTACGCATCTCCCAAAAACGAAATCGCCTCCGGCACCTCGTTCTCCACATGGCGGCGAAGACGCGCGAGGTCTTCCGCATTGGTTTCTGCGCACGGTACACGACAGATGGGACACGCAGTTCCGTGTATCTTGTTCTGGCACGATTGGCAGATCTTTCGGCAGCAACAGACGCGAAGCACGCTCTTCCCATTCACGTCCCACTCCTCGAGACAGATCGGGCACCGCGACCCGTACCGCGCTGACAGCGGCTCCGGCTCCGGGTTCGCCTCGCGCAGCACGCGGGCGGCCTCGTCCCGCTCGCGGAGGCGCGCGCGGACCTCGTCGGCGTGCGACCGCGGCGCGGGGCCGTAAAACACGTCCCGCGGCGGCGACGGCGGGGGCGTCGGTGCTTCCGCCCGCGCCGCCTCCGCGGCCTGGACCTTCTTGCAGACCTTCCGGTGGCCCCGGTCGCGCCAGTCGATGCGTTGGCAGTCCGTCGAACAGTAGGCCGTCGTGCCGCAACCTTTGCACGCCTTGGCCTTGTCGGCGCCGCAGATCGTGCAGGTCTTGAGAGTGTCGAGTTTTTTGCCCCTCGCTCGGGCCATGCGGTTCTCATACTCCAACTTCTTCTCCTGCCACGACATGACGCGCGCGTCCTATCGCCGCACAGCTCGACTCGACCCTCGCGAGCTCGCAAAGGCAAAGTCTCCCCCTTCGGTCCTTCCCTGCGCCGCGGCTAAGCAAAATCGCTCAAAATCTTCCCCCGAGGGCTAAAGCCCACCCCTAGAACACGCCTAGAGCATCGCGTCCATGTCATTCTACATGCCCTCGGCGGCGGCATCGTCGTCCTTGCGCCAGGTGGGCTTGGCATTCAAGAACGCCAGGCACCAGACCGCGGAGGTCGGCGCGGAGAGGAACGCGGCGACGACGACGCCATCGCTCGCGCGCAAGCGCAGCATCCCAGGCTCGGGCGACGACGCGGCATAAAGAGTTAGGCTATTACTCGCGCGTCGAGGGTCGTGAGATTCTTTATAGCATCCTCGAAGCCCTTGGCAGCGGCGCGCTCGAACCAGTACCTGGCTTTGCCGAGGTCGACTTCCGTGCCTTCTCCGTCGTCGTAACAAATGCCAAGGAGAGTCTCCCCGGGGGCATAGCCTTGATCCGCCGCGAGCGCGTAGTACCGGAACGCTTCTTCATGTTTCTTCTCAGAATCAAGTAACTTTCCTACATTGCATTGCGCGACCGCGTCGCCTCGATCTGCGGCCATGCGATACAGCCGCTCCGCCTTCTTCTTGTCCAGCTTGACGCCCAACCCCTCCTTGTACATTTCCCCAAGGAATACCATCGCTTCCACGTCACCGAGCTCCACGGCGCGCCGGTAAATCTTCGCCGCTTTCTTATCGGATTTCACAAGGCCCAACAAACCGTCGCTGTACGCAGTTCCCAAAAACGCAATCGCTTCCGGCACCTCGTTCTCCACATGGCGGCGAAGACGCGCGAGTGCTTCCGCTTTGGTTCCTAGCGGTAAACGACAGAGTGGACACGCGTCGGAGCCGATCTTGTCCTCGCAGGATCGGCAGACCTTTCGGCAGCAACAGACGCGAAACGCGTTCGCCGCATTCACGTCCCACTCCTCGAGGCAGATCGGGCACCGCGACCCGTACCGCGCCGACTTCGGCTCCGGCTCCGGGTTCGCCTCGCGCCGCGCGCGAGCGGCCTCGTGTTCGGCGGCGATGCGCGCGCGGATCTCGTCGGCGTGCGACCGCGGCGCGGGGCCGTAGAACACGTCCCGCGGCGGCGACGGCGGGGGCGTCGGCGCTTCCGCCCGCGCCGCCTCCGCGGCCTGGATTTTCTTGCAGACCTTCCGGTGGCCCCGGTCGCGCCAGTCGATGCGTTGGCAGTCCGTCGAACAGTAGGCCGTCGTGCCGCACCCTTTGCACGCCTTCGCTTTGTCGGCGCCGCAGATCGTGCAGGTCTTGAGGGTGTCGAGTTTTTTGCCCCTCGCTCGGGCCATGCGGTTCTCATACTCCAACTTCTTCTCCTGCCACGACATGACTCGGCGCGTCGAGAGCTCGTACGATCGTCGTCCCCCGCTCGAGCCTCAACAGGCAAAATCGCTCAAAATCTCACCCCACGCCTGAGCCCACGCCTAGCGCGTTCATGTCGTTCTCAATACCCCCGTCGGCGGCGTCGTCGTCCTTGCGCCAGGCAGGCCTCGCGTAAAGAACGCGAGGCACCAGACCGCG